ATTTGAGATACAGTAGATCTTCTATTGGATCAGACTACACGGGCCAGTTTTTACTCCCTACGTGTATCAATCTGCCTTGGCCATCTATGATCTTGTCACCAGTTTGCTGGTTTTCCTTTCTTGTATCACTTTTGTTAGGTCCTGACCACTGCAGACTGGGAACATCCCACAAGATCTGCAGTTATAGAGCTGCTCTGACCCAATCGTCTAGCCATTGTCAATTTAACACATCAACTTCAGGGACAACATCTTCATTTGCTGTCTAATATATCCCACCCACTTTCAGGTGGCATTGTTACAAGATAACCAATTTTCTTCATTTTACTTGTCAGTGTCACAATTTATGTCTTTAAAGTCCCACCCAGTAGAGGACCTTTCCCCCTTTTTGTCTATACTTTTAGGGATGTTGGCACCCTTTGTATTATATCCCCCCCTCTTCCTTCCATCTGAATGTCACAGCAACCAGTCTGCCCATTTTTCTCTGACATCAAAAAGGCATTTTTGTCCACACAACTGCTGCTCACTGGATATTTTCTCTTTTTTGGCCCATTCTCTGTAAACTTCTGATATGGTTGAGCGTGAAAATCCCAGTATATCAGCAGTTTTTGAAATACTCAGACCAGCCCGTCTGGCACCAACAACCATACCACATTCAGAGTCACTTAAATTCCCTTTCTTCCCCATTCTGATGCTCGGTTTGAACTTTAGCAAGTCGTCTTCACCACATCAACATGCTTCAATACATTGAGTTGCTGCCATGTGATTGGCTGATTAGCAATTTGTGTTACCAAGCAATTGAACAGTTGTACAAGTGGCCGGTGAGTGTATATGGCCATTGATTTAGAATAGGATGCTCAATAAGCTCATATAGGTGTGATAAGTTGTCCTCAAATGTTTGTGCTGGGTTTTTGTTGTCAAAATTTGTCTCTTGTGTATTGTGTTTAAAATTGCAATAGCCAAGGTCTGTACAATATTTCTGTCCTCTTTAGGGTGTGCACACAAGATCCCTTTTGGATAGCCGACCAGCTTAAAAGGCACTTTTAGAGTTAGACCAAAATACACCGAATACCTTGCTATGTGCATTAGCCTAACAATGATAGAGCATAAGGAAACCACAGGCATTACCAGTTCAAGGGGTTTAAGCTTGCTTAACTCATCAAACTGTTGGCCACGGTAAAAGATCCTTTCATTAAGGTCTAGTTACTCTCACTGAATACTCACAAATTAGGATATTTGGTTCACCTGTAAAATCTTTTTCTGGGGGTACATTACAGGACATAGTCCCCTCCTCCTGAATGTTCCACATTGCATGCTACAAAATTTAGTCTTAGCTGAGCTGGCAGGGGGTTATGCCGGGGCTGGATTTTCTGCCTATTTTGGCCAGTGTCCATTCATGTGAAAGTGGTAGGACAACCCAGTAGTCATGATTATGAAGTTCTCTATGTCCTCTGATGTACTCCAATAAATAATTTTACAGGTAAATGGATATCCTAATGTTTGTCATCCGTTAACTATAGATCAATATTTTTGGTTATAAATTTCCTGTAGACTTTACTATGGCTGCAAGCACTAAGAATCTTTTGAACAGGTCAATTTCCATAGCACAGTAATCCCAGCAAATGGCCAAAGTGACTTTGAATAATGTAATTTCAAACAAGAATAGATCGTTATGAAGGCACCTATTGGTGTTTTAATATGGGATGTCTCATAATTTATATATATTTTCTTTTTCCTGCAGAAAACTGTCTGGATGTATCCTTTCCAAATCCATAGCATCTCGCTTTCAACGTTTGCCTCTCTCATTGGGCCTTTTGGAGGATTCTTCGCCAGCGGATTCAAGAGAGCATTCAAGATCAAAGTGATTATCATCTCATAAATTCTAGTTGTACTAATATTTGTGGCAAATATGCTGAGTTCATCCCATTGTGCCAAAAATCTTTTTTTGGAAGATCAGCCTCCCTGAGGACATTGGGCTAGGTTTATTCCCGGGAACTTCTCTTCTTCACAGCATTGCCTCCATTTTATATTACTTTGTTAATAAAGTTACTGTTTGTATGAACAAGCCTGATAGAGCATTTCAGGATTGCTAAAATACCCTGCTTTAAACTTTTTTTTTTCTGGCTCTCAAAGACCTTTGGGGCAGCATCTTCTCAGAAACTGTGGTGGTAGGTGGTAAGGTAGGAGTGGAACCTACATATGTCACCTACCTGTGATGTTTAAGCTGCTGCCAAGACTGTGTCTCTAAAGATCTCTGGAGGGCAGTGTTTGTGAAGGAGATGTGTTTTAGGGAGTGATTTGACTGCTCAGCTGTTCCTGCCAATTTAAAGGGGTGAATTTAGTCAGATGGCATTGATGAGCTGTCTGAATGCAGGATAGCTCATGGTGACCATGCTGAATCAACTTGCATTAGCAAGTCCTGTGGCCGGTGTAGTGGCTGGATAGGTGATTAGGGGAAATACAGAAGGCCATGGCTGAGTATTGTCACCAGTCCAAAAGACGATCACCCACACATAACAGACTTACCTCTTATGTTTGGGCTAAAAATTGAGGTAATTGGAAAATGGTAGGTTTATTTCAGATCAATTGCTTATATTAATTTTGCATTTATGATTAAGTATATTTAGTTGACTATAGATAGAGTTTAACTGATCTCTAGGTTTTTGCCAGTGGTCTTGGAAAAAAAAGCTTGAGATATGAGCAGCTTGCACTTCCAGAGATGGGTGTGTAGACTGAATCACAAAAGCTCTCAATTATGATATGGGTGTGGGTCAAATGTGATAGGGTCCCTAACTGATTGAATAGGAAGTTAGTATGCATATACTTATGTTGGGACTGGAGAAATCCATCCTGTTTTTCTATATATATTCATATATTTGTGATTAACAGCCTGGAAAGCCTATAAGCCATCTCAGCTAGAAACCAACAAGTTAAATTTCTTTTACATCTTCCAGAGTCTGATTTTCTGTAAATCCCTGCATTCATTGTAGGTTTTCTGCAGCCTCCTATTGCCTGAAAGTTAACTGGAGACTTAACATTGTGCTCCTTTGGGTTCATACATTTTTTCTTTTTTCCTTAGGATTTTGCAAACACCATTCCAGGCCATGGCGGTATCATGGACAGATTTGACTGTCAATACTTGATGGCTACGTTTGTGAATGTGTACATTGCCAGCTTCATCAGGTGAGTAATAAATAGAAGCAAAGCTTGGAGGGAAGTTTCATTTTTATTGAACAGTTGCTGAGCACTGTTTTGTCTGTTTGAATCCTTTGATATCACATTACTTTGGATTTTGTTTGATTTTTTTTTTCTATTGACTTTAGAGCGTACCATAATATCTGCGTTCCAGTTGCATTTCTGCATGTGCATTTTTGGTCAATTTCTGTGCATTTTTGATCTTTCTTTCTTTGATTTTTCTCCCTGCCTTTTTTTCTTCATCTCAATTCAGGACATATGCATCCCCATACATTTTCCTTTCAATACATTTTTATTGAAAAAATTGTGATTGTAGAAAATACAAACGCAACCGCTATTACGTGTACAGGCAAAGATAGAACAACAAGAGTCAACAGATCAAAAGCGGTAGTGCACAGAAAAACATACCTGTAATTGGTGACAAAGTAAATGTGTCAATATGTCAAAAGATACATCAACCATATTGTGTCGATAAATCGGCGTAAGGAATGGATGAGGGTCCATACGCCTATTGCCTGAGATCAGACATTGGCAATAAGAGTAGTAGCATATGAAATGCACAAAGTATATAATCAAACCAAGAAATACATGGAACACATCGTAAGTCATCCCTGAGGGAGAGCCAGTAGGGTGAGAGAAAAAGAAGAAAAAAAGCATTCCAGTACATTGTTTTATGCTTTTTTGTTTTTCCCCTTCTTATTCTTCTTCCTCTTCTTCTTTCTTTCTTCTTCTTCTTCCTCGTCCCCTTCCTCCTCCTTCTTCTTTTTTTTTTTCCTCTTTCTTCATCTCAATTCAAGGCATATGCAACTTGGTGCATTTTAATAATTTTTTTCCTCTATTTTTTCATCTCAGTTCAGGACTACGCATTGTGGTGCACGTTTGGTGCATTTTGCCACATTCCAGATGCGGTCCATACAGAAAAAAATGCAACTATTTCTACTTTTGTTGACTGCACTGAAACACAGTGCACTGGAGTGAACTAGAGCTATAAAAAGTGCACTGGACTGCATCTGGTGTGAACCAGACCATGGTGCAATTTAGAGAGGAACTGAACTCTAGAAGATGTACCTAAAGAAATGCAGGCAGATGACAAATGACTAATCACCAGTCTTACCTTTGGTCTACCAAAAGCTGATCTTTCCTCCATTACTGACGTAATGTGTCTTGTTTAGCGCTGTGTGTCTGAGTATGGAGGCAACCATCTTGGTAGAGGCCAGGTTTTGCTTCTTCATGTCCGAGCATCCAGCAAGGAAAACAGTCTTGGGGGACGTAGAGTGAGTCAGTAATTTGATGATCTCACTACTGTGCTGCTCACTATCAGTCAGAGACTGCAGTGCCTTAGATCTCACGCTGCAGATGGACTGCTGAAGGCACTAGGTACCTTCACATACCAGGAAGCACACATTTTAGAAGGAATTCATAACATAAGGTAAATTTCTCAGGGTGCTTCTTAGGCACAATTAACATTTTAAAATTTTCCCCATAACATTGCAAATCTACTTTTTTTTTTTTTTTTTTTTTTGGAGTTCAGGTCTGCTTTAACCTTTAAATCCTTAGCCTGATATATTTATAGTTCTTTTAATAAAGATTTCAAAATGTCTGTTTTTTGAGCACCATTTCTTTAATTTCAATGCATAATAATACATTTTGTTTTCTGTCTTTCTCTTTTTTGCGACAGGGGTCCCAACCCAAGCAAACTACTCCAGCAGTTTTTAACATTGCGTCCTGACCAACAAATTCACATTTTCAACACACTGAAGTCACACCTAACAGAGAGGGGGATGCTGGAAAATGGCAACGGTGTTTAAAATATCTGTACGTCCAGTCAGGGCAGCACCTCCATCCAGAGCATGTGGGTTCACTGTACAGTAACACTGTTCCAGCCCTTCTTGGAGAGGACTCATTAACCCCTTTGCTGCTGGAGATGTTTCCAGAGGTCATTTTTTTTTTTTTTTGTAAACATTTGTGCGGTCATTTTTTGCCTGTATTTTTTTTGTTTTCCACAAGCCTTGTGTTTACATATACCTTCTTAAGACAGAGTCTGACGGCTACATTTGTAGAGGTGGTAACTTTGGAGTGCATTGCATTCCAGCCTCCCACATGCACTATGGAGCGAGAGACATTTCTGAAAATGTATAAGGGATTTCTTAATGGCATAATCGGATCATTTAAAGAGACATTCTGGCAATTTTATTAAGCATATCTTTTTATCATTTCACAGAATTATTTAGGTCTGTACATTTCGGTGGTATACAGTGTGGTATACTGAGCCCCATTTCTATTCTGCTCAGTTTTTATTTGGAGGGTAAGTGACCAACATAGGGACTAGTTATGAGGTTTGCTACCACTAGATGTCAGTATGTATCAATAACCTATTGCTGTTCAATGCAATACAGAAAATACATTGTAGGTGGGACACAACACCCTAATGTTACCCACATTGTGCTTTGCTGGGTTTAGTTCCCTGTAAGGTGAAAGGAATTCAGGATAGGCAGCATTTGAGATTAATTAAGCCATTCCTATGTTCATTATTGTGGGTGTGTATCTGAAGGCAGCAGACATGGGGTATAGTCACAGCAGCCATGTACATTTAAGCCCATTTTACAAGGGGCCAACCAGCTGTGGTGCATCCCTCCTGGGACTTTAGTGTGCCCAAGAGGGACATGTGCAGCACCCAGCTCAGCTTCTGGCAGCCTGTCCAGGTCTATGGGAGGCTGCAGTTGGTTGCTGTTCCAAGTGGTACCGGTGTTTAGGGATCTGTACGCTCAGGGACAAAGTTCTGGAACACAGGTCTTCTGCATTCTGGAACTTTTTCCCTGGGCAAACAGATGCCTAAATGCTGGTACCACTAGGAATAAAGTTCCAGAACACTGGTCTTCTGCATTCTGGAACTTTGTCCCTTGGCAAACAGGGGCTAAATGCTGGTACCACTAGGAACAAAGTTCCGGAACACAGGTCTTCTGCATTCTGGAACTTTGTCCCTGAGCGCACAGGGCCCTAAATGCTGGTACCATTAGGGACAAAGTTCTGGAGCCCAGGCCTTCTGTATTCTGGAACTTTGTCCCTGAGCGCGCAGGGCCATAAACGCTGATACCACTAGGGACAAATTTATTGAACTCAGGCCGTCTGTATTCTGGAATTTGTCCCTGAGCACGCAGGGCCCTAAACGCTGGTATCACTAGGGTCAAAGGTCTGGAGCCCAGGCCTTCTGTATCCTGGAACTTTGTCCCTGGGTTCACAGGACCCTAAACACTGGTACCACTTGGGACAAAGTTCTGGAACCCAGGCCTTCTGTATTCTGGAACTTTGTCCCTGAGCGCACAGGACCCTAAAGGCTGGTACCACTAGGGACAAAGTTCCGGAACACAGGTCTTCTGCATTCTGAAACTTTGTCCCAGAGCGCACAGGGCCCTAAATGCTGTTACCATTAAGGACAAAGTTCTGGAACCCAGGCCTTCTGTATTCTGGAATGTTGTCCCTGAGCGCACAGGACCCTAAAGGCTTGTACCACCGGGGACAAAGTTCTGGAACACAGGTCTTCTGCATTCTGGAACTTTGTCCCTGAGTGCACAGGACCCTAAAGGCTGGTACCACTAGGGACAAAGTTTTGGAACCCAGGCCTTTTGTATTCTGGAACTTTGTCCCTGAGCGCACAGGACCCTAAAGGCTGGTACCACTAGGGACAAAGTTCTGGAACACAGGTCTTCTGCATTCTGGAACTTTGCTCCTAAGCACACAGAGCCTTAAATGTTGGTACCACTCTTTGGCAGACTACCTGTAGCAGGGGTGGGCACTGCACCTGGTACTCCCGGGCACACTCCCGATCCATGTGCAAGGGACTTTACCCATGCAACATAAGTTGTCATGCAAATTGGATCCATGACACCCTGATATAAGCTAGAAGGCCATAAAAATAAATCTATATATACTATACATCTAAACCTGTTCTGTTGCTATCTTCGCTAAGTTTTGGGGTTGCACATCTGTCTTTCGGCAGGTACACAGCCAGCTTTATGTAATATAAATTTTCCATGCTGTACATGTGCTGATGTGACACTAGACAGAGGGAGCTTGCAGTGTACAGAACCATAGTAGGCAACAGGACCTCCAGGAATAAGAATATAGTGGCAGTTTTCTAGGATTGGCACTACTCGGGCCACACATATTCAATGTAGTGGAAAACCTCTTCCCATACTCCACTTTCAGAAATGTCTCTCTCTATATGAGTCACGGTTAATACATATTTATGTACTCAAGTTTTACTAGCCTTTTATTTGTCTAGCATAGATGCATAAATGCTAAGTTATGACCATAACCGTTTTCACATTTTAGTGTCTATGTAATTTTATACACAGTAAGTGTTACATCAGGTTTAAATTATTTTATTATTATTGCTTTGCTGTGAAGGACTGGGTATTACAGCAATTTTGAACTTTTATTTATTTTTTTTTTTTTAAGGGATCTGAAATTATCCTCAAACTTTGCTTGGTAAAGCTGAATTCTAGGTATATTTTTGGGGTTTTTTTTTTTTTTTTTGCATATTTGTATTGGTCCAGCTTGAATCAATGTAATTATGCATTTGCTATAGCTGTGGGACCACTCTGGAAGTAGTAGCTGCTGCTACTACAGCGATTTGCTTCTGTCTTCTGGGTTCCATGCCAGCTGGCTACATAGTGAACACAGGGCAGTCGCTTGCTCAGCCTGGGCACCATTTACAGAACACTTTGGATATTTCTCAATGAATGTAAAGCGTTCCTGGATTGGAGGAGGTGGAGATTATGAGGCCACATACCCCCTCCACCTCATCCAATCAGGGAACACTTTGCATTCATTGAAAGAGCATTCTGTGAATGGGGCTCATGCCAAGCAAGCAACCCCCTGTATTTACTATGTAGCAAGGTAGCCACTCAGCACAGGACACCGAAAACAACAGCGATTGCTGTAGTAGCTGTAGCTACTACAGTGATTCTCTTTTTTCGCAGTGGTCCCACCGGCATGGCATTTGCTTACTTACAAGCTGGACCAATCCAACTATGCAAAACAAAATCCATACCTGCAAATCCAGCTTTTACTAATGAGGTTTCAATAAGATGTGTCACAGCCCTATCTGTAATCGGCAAGCACGTCATATACAGCAACAAGTACACAGTGTACGGAGCCCTCCTTCATTCACTTGTTTTCACATCCCCACAGTTAGTCATTATCTCTCATTTTATGTGTAAAATAATGTGTTGTATTTATCTTTTGTTTCCTAAACTTGTTCCATTCTGTAATTTCTTCCATGACTTTTCTGTATTTAGCACTTTTTTTTTTTTTTTTTTTAAAGAAGCGAAAACCCATTTTGACTAATTTTGCCATTATTTTGTGAATGTATATGGTGTTGTCTAGCTGTGACTCTTAACTGGTGTTTTGCAGACTGCAGATTATTGGATCCTGTAGTCACCCGACCAGTCATTGTTCATGATATAAGTGTATAAAATGTGAACTTTTTGTAGAGCATTTTTATATTAAAAGGTAGTTTTTTTGGAAGGACCAGTCACTCCAAACCACGCAATGGTTCACAGAATAAAACTGGCTGGTGATTTTTTTTTTTTTCTCTGGAGGTTATGCATTTCGGTTAGCAATGGCATTGTGCAAGTTATTTTTCTTACACATCGCTGCCTTCCTGTTTATTAATCCCATAGAGAAGTTACTGTCATCACCCCCTTGAATTCCTTTTTTAGCTAAAATGGTTATTACAGAACAGGCTGCAGACATTGCATATAATGTCATATAGAACTATTTGGGTATATTATTTGCTGCTGTTGTGTATTCTTTACTGGCCCTTAAATTATATACAGAATTTGCAGCTAAAATATGTTTTTGTTAAAAGTACTTTTTATCATCCCTGACATGCAAAAATGTTGATGACCACAGATATACCACAGGCTTAAAATGTACATATGTGCAGCACATGTAGTATGGCCATTTAATTTATCCATTGTTTTTATTTGGTGGATTGCTAATTTACTAGCTGGCATGCAGTCAGGACTAGTTATTAAACTAAAACAATGCTCTTCTTTTAAGCTGAAGATGTCTGCCCGTTTGAAATAATAGTTTTAAAATGCCTCTTGCAAATATGGGCTGTATTTAAAGCCTAACTCTAGCAGAAAAAAATGCTTGGTTTGTCCAGAGAAGAGCAGAAACTGTTTTACTTGCCTGATCTTCTGTTCTCTCTGCTTCTGGAACGTCCCCAAGATTTGGCGGTGAACTATTCCTAGGTGTTCTCACATCCAGAGAAAGGCAATTGGGTTCTGCTTTGGTGTTGATGACGTCAGGACCCTGGAGCATGGGGGTGCAAAAGCTGCGAGTAGGAGTAGTTTATTGTTCCCTTAGACCATGTAGCCCCACTGCAAGGGATCATTTTTATTTGCTCTTAGTTTTTAAGCCCTTAGGGTTTTATAGGACAGCTATAAAGAAAAATATTCTATTTTGAAAAATATGTTTTTAATACCTGTAATGGTTGTATTCTATATATGAATTCCTTCCATAATGAATGAATATTCGGCTGGGACAGACAAAATATGTTGCAAAAAAAAAAAAGCTTTTCATATTTTCAGTAAAGTCATTACATGTATAAACCACATATATTTATCAGAATACAGTAATTTTCATAATAATTACCTTTTGAAGTAAAAGGTTCAGTTTCTCCAGTGAGTACTGCGTTGAAGGGATTATATGAATATTTTGCTCTTTGGGGTCTACTTACAAAAAAAAAGGGGGCAAATATTCAGAAAAAAAAAGTGCATTGTCAACACTAGATGGACAT